TGCCCTCCCCCTTTCAGCTACCCCCCATCCCTGTAACATGCCAACCCTTCCACCAGCAGCTCCCTTCACTGCAGTCCCTGCCCTCTTCCCTTCCTCCTCTTTCCCTGTACCTTGATAACTACCCTAACCCTGTCACATGGCACATCCTGTGTCCCTGTGTTTCTCATCAGGACACTCTTCCTGTAGTACTGGAACTCTCTACTTGCTGCCCCCCCTTTCAGCTACCCCCCATCCCTGTAAGGTGCCAACCCTTCACTGCAGTCCCTGCCCTCTTCCCTTCCTCCTCTCTCCCTGTACCTTGATAACTACCCTAACCCTGTCACATGGCACATTCTGTGTCCCTGTGATCCCATAGCTGCAGCAGACTCTATACTAAACTAGACCTTGTGGACTGACCTCAGCTTTTTCTTATTTTCTCTAGAATGACTACCTAATATTTTCATTCTTTGATTAGGCGCAGCAACAAAGCTCACATGGTCTGTGAGTTCAGGCCTACTGCAAATAATTAAAACAGAAACCTGCCATCTACGTTCTCAAATGCAAAAGGCTAATCTCAAATTTTTCTACTATTTCTTAAGCCAACATCCTCAATCTTACTCAAAGGCCATCAGCTAGATGTGACTATTCCTAGTATCCTTGCATGCTTGACACCTGTTTGGTACAGCAAGCTGGCCTTTCCTAGGTTCTGCACTAGGCCTCATGCTCCTTCATAACCCACCTTGGAATTCACTTCTCTACAACCTCACTTCTTGGTCATCCTGTCCCTCCTGTAGCTTTAGCCCAAGCATCACTTCTTTCAAAAAAGCTGGCCCTGCAACGGTTAAGAACACTGGGGGCTTCTTACAGAGACCTGGGTTTGGTTCCCAGCACCCTTGTGGCAGCTAACAACCATCCATAATTCCAGATCCAGGGGATCCAACACCCTCTTTTGGCCTCTGCAGGCACTGCACAGCATGGGTGCACTTACATACATGCAGGCAAAACATATATACATAAAATAAAGACAAACCAAAAAAATAAAAAATTTAAAAATAAATAAGCTGGCCCAGTGCTCAGCACTCCCCCACTATATGCCTGAAAAGTTCCAGTGGGTCCCCAATAGCCCCACATAACTACAAGGCTGGATGATCATCCTGCTTTCTACCCGTGCTCTACGGCTACAAGAGTCTACCAAAAAGGAGCAGGTCTGTATCCTAGAACTACGCCTAGAGCTATGCACCACACAGAGATCACCAGTAAAAGACTAGGTGAGGCCATTCCCTCTCACTTTGAGGTGGTCCCCAGAGTTGGGTCAAGGACGGAGCAGACAGCCCCTGTGGACCCACCAGGGCTAGCCTCTGATCTCATACCTGAAATGCAAAAGCTAAACTCTGACCCATGAATCTCCAGTGGAAGCTGCCTCTGCCTAGTACTGATCACTTACTAATGTGCATTTCCTACATACATTAACCCTCATAGTTACCCTCTCAGGAATGTTTAGTGTCTTCTTAGACAAATTAGGAAAATGACACCCAGCCAGGTTTCAGTGGTCTCTGTTCACTCCTCCTGGATAGACAACCCGACCTCATAGTCTGTTAACACAGCAGACATACTCTTCAACCATTGGCAAAATTCGTTTTGTCCTCACTGGTCACATCTAGGCAGCACTATAGCAAGTCTAGGTTGGCCTCAGCAATGCCCATAACCAGTACCTGCCCTGTCCCTAAAAGTTTAGGCAGCACCTTCACATGTGGGCTCTCCCCTGGGGTACATAGTACACAAGTCCCCTTTTCACAGCAGAGGAAACATTCCCAGGGAGATGGTAGGATAGTATTCCACCTCCAAAACACCCAGCTGGCAAACATCAACACATGCCCCTGCCTTCCTGTCTTAAACCTTTGCAGGGGCTGCTGTCTCACTGACACTTGTCAATGGCCAGTTCCAATGCTTCAGCTGAAAGGGGTGATCCAAGCAGTCTGACTGCAAAGGTGGAAAGTGACAAGGAAAGTGTTCGAGTAACCCCACGTTTATTCAGGGATGTGCCAAGACACATGCGCTTGTCGTTAAAAGGATGGAAAAGACAAAACAGCACTAGTGTCATGAGCCTCTAGCCTGAGTGTTTCTTGCACTGAAGTGAGGAGCTCCGGGCGAAGACCCACAGACCGGCTCCCCGCCCATGTTGAAAACAGAATCTCACAGCCTGCTCTCAGGTGCATTTTGCTGAGAGTCTGATGTTCAAGGGGCTCTCCAAAGGGTGGCGGGGCTTCACTGATGACTTGCTTCCGTTTCTCTCCAGCTGGGGGCCTCCCTTACATGCTGCAAAGACATAGAAGAACGAATAACCCTCCCATGCTGCGCAAACCTCACCTGCATAAACCATTTGGGTTTTCACATGTCCTAAAGGATTGTTGAAACAATCCAAAGAATCAGGCACTACTTCGCAAACAGTCAAGGTGGGAGAGGTTAGTAGGTTGTCAAGGTGGCAAAACTCAAGCAGGCTTGGGCTGAGTTCGGCCCCCATATGAAAAGAAGCAAGGGCGGGACAGCCATGTTTGAAGGGGCCAGGATCACCACCGCCCTCAAGGTGGGTTTTCCAAGCTTCTAGAAGTGGCTTCGGCAAGCCTCAGCGCAGTGCAGTTAACGTTAGGGTCGCAGGAGCAAGCAGCGCGTGCGGGACTGCGGCGCGCGCAGAGTCGCGGCCGCGCCCCTGTCTGTCTCCATTGGACGGCTCCCGCGTCTGTCGGCCACCGGTGCCCAATGGGTAACGAGCAGGCGCTCAGGGCCGGGCGGCGGCGTGTGGTGCCGGGCAGGCGAAAGGCAGTCCCTGCCCACGGTTGGCCTGGCAACGGGCTGCGCTCGCGACTCCGCCCCCTGCCGGCGGCGCCGCTGTGCGGGGCGGGTGGACCCGCTTGCGGGCGGCGCGGGAGGGCGGCGGAGGGAGTCAGGCAGCCCGAGCGTGTGTGCCGCCCGCGGACCGGTCACGTACCCGCGCGGGCGCCGGCGCCCGCGTCGTGCGAACGAGGGTGCAGCGGCCCCAAGCTTGCTGCCCCGTCCCGCCCCGCCCCGCCGGGTGCAGCTCAACAGACGCACGAAGCCGCGCCCGAGAGGTGAGTGAGTGAGCGCACCCACGGCCGGGGCGCGCGCGGCTGAATCCGGGATTGGGGGCGCGGCTGGGGCTCACCCCACCCCCACCCGGAGCCCGGGCCGGGCCTTTGTGCTGGGGATGCGGGGTCCGTCGGGCTGGGGAGGCAGAGGCGGGGATGCCGGGCCGGGTAGTGGTGCGGCGAGGGTGGGGTTGTCTGCGAGGTGGGCAGGGGGCAGCCGAGGCCCAGACAGGTGCGGGGGGGTGGGGGCGCAGCGGCCCAGTAACCCAACGGAGAGGCGGCTGCTGGCCCCGGAGATGGGGCAGGAGGCACCCAGGATGATGCGGGACCGCCGAGCCCGTCAGCAGCTGAGGAGCCCGGGCGGACGACCTGCGGGAGTCACGCCAGGCGGGGTCTCCCTCCAGGGGTCCAGGGGTGCAGGCAGCCGCAGGTGGCAGGAGCGCCGGCGCTTGGCCTTGGTAGACAGCGGAGAGAGGGCCCCGAGGCCCGAGTAGGACGACAGCTCGCAGTTTTCGGTCATCGCTCTAGCGGAGAGCAGGTTCCTTGGAGGCATTTAGAGCCAAAGATGAGTATCGACCTGATGCGATTGTAATGTGTTCCAGGCTCAATATTTTTTCCCATAAAAGGCGGTGGGGTGCTTGGGGGAGGGGTGTGAGGGCCTCTGTTCTGGGGCTCGGTATCCTGCTGTGGATCTACCGGGGCCCTGCCTTTAGGGAGGTGCAGAGCCTGTCTGGGTGAGGATGGCAAGAATCTGCCTAGGCCGAGAATTGGGGATCCTGTTTCAGAGAGGAGGATGGGAAGGCGGTGCCAAGTGAGACCAGGGTTCCCTGGAGTCTGTCTCAGGGTGGAGGGACCGGCCTGGTTACTGAGGTCTGCCTGGCTAGGGGGAGGGGGCCTGAGCCCTGACTGACTTCTTTCTCCCCAAGTGGTTTCCCTGCCCTAGGGATCATCCAGTCCTGCAACCTGGTCCCTGTCTAGAGGAAGCTGCTTGGCCAAATTCAATTAAGCAAACATTTACTGAGTGCTGGCTCCCCCGGGGTCTGGTACTGAGGTGGAAGGGTGAGAGTGGACTGGGCCTGCCCTCCCAGGTCTGATTCACCTTCCCACAGGGGAAATATGGCTGTGCTCTGATAACCCCGGCCCTCGGTGTGGTGCAGGGGGCTTGGGAGGGGCCTGGGAGAGATACTCTAGGCTTGGGTCAGACCTGCCTATGGGCAATGTGACATCTGAACTGGAGCTTGAAGGACACCAGCATAGTTGGAGTGAGCAATGTGGGCAGAAGGGAGAAAATGAATGGAAACTCTGGTCAGGCAACTGGGTGGGGTGGAAGCACCTGGCACACTTGGGAAGGAGTCAGAGGTATGGGGGGAAGGCGGGTGAGGGGCGGGAAAAGCACATGAAGGGAAGTGGACAGGGGCACTGTGTCAGACACCATTGCTTGTTAGCTCCGGCTGTCTGAGTAGAGACCACAGCCTTCTTTTCTATAAATGGGAGCAGTTCTGTGAACCCCTCTCCCAAGCTGAGTGGTCTTGGGGAAAGAATTTTAAAGCCCCAGAAAAGGCTCCTGATAGCCTGGGTCTGCCTTTACAAGCACCTTGTCCTCAGGTAGGGCCAGAGAGCCCTGTTTAACCAACCTACCCAGCCCCCTCAGCCAAGATGAAGTTGCCTGCTTTGAAGGGGACAGTGCTTAGCTGGTGACTCGGGAGCTATGGACACTTGAAACCAATGCATCTGATAGCCTAAGAGTGTCCATTGAGGGACCCATGAGGCTCTGGGGGGCTGGCCCGTACTTGGATGAAGTGGTACCCCTTCAGTGTGCCTCCTCTAGGCATGAAGAGATGCTGGCATTTGGTGTAAAACTCTTCCTGTGTGCTCCTCGGAAGGCCGATGTCACCTTCTGCCCTAGATCTGCTCTCTTGCTCCCAGAGATGATTTTTTGCTTTCTCTCAGAAAAGACTGGGTTTATAGTCATATTGGTAGTATGCCCCCTACCGCAGACAGAGACAGACAGAGAGAGACAGACACGCGCACACACGCGCACGTGCACAGCATTGACCTGAGGCTCAGGTTGTTGCAGTAACAAAACCTACTTGCCCTAATGGGGTATGTGATCTGTACCTCCTGCCTGGCCCATTCCAGGGTCCTGCCATGGGACTCAGAGTTTGGGATGAGGAGAATGGATTCCTTCCTCTGTCTGGAGCCTCTTAGTCTCCAGGGTGGAAAAAAAGTGTTTCAGTCTCCATCACAGGAGATTCTGGGGTGAGTCCAGCAATATCTGGGTAACTAGATAACAGATTTTATTGCCAGGAGGCCCTACATAGAAGCTACTAGGAGAAAGAAGGTCTTCTTGCAGCTAGCCCGAGGATGTATCTTCAACCCAACCTGGCCACTCAATTGTCTGTTGTGTGAGCGTGACTGACAGTATATGTGCTTCCTGTCCTGGAGACAGGGACTTTGCCGTCCCACAAAAGCCTCCAAAGACCTAAAACATTATTAGGTGGCTGCAGAGATGTGCTAAGTGCTGCTGACCATGGCTAGCTCACAGGAACTCTGGAGCACGCAGATAGCCCACTGCTCTCCTAAAGCCCCCAGGAAGGAAACCTGAGGTAACCAAGCCTAGGGCAGCCTGTGAGCCCTGTTCTTGACTTAAAGGAACTTGAAGAGAAGTGGACAGAGGTACTGGGACAGACACCAAAGGTTAGCTACAGGCAAGAGCAGCCAATAGAGGCCACACTGTTCTCTATGCAGCCTGGGAAAGTCCCAGAGCACCCAAACTCTCATGCCCTGAAGCAGTTAGGCAAGAAATCCATTGTAGGCATCAGAAGTCATGGGGTCAGGCTCTGGTACTGTTGCCCACAAGTCCAGCCCCAACTTCTCTGAGCCTTCTTGTCCTCATCTGTAAACAGCTAGGATTGCTGCCCTTGGTCTCCACATCAGTCTGTAATCTCAGGAGCCATGAGTGGACATGAATCCTTGTTTATCTCCTCTTGAATGTGTTCACATTGGAGGAGAGGTGCTTCATAAAACTAAAATGATGATCCTGGAGACCTACCCTTGTACTGGCACAAGTGTACAGCAGTGACATTGGCTACTCCTAGTGCTCACATGTGACAGTAGAGGCCTCCAGTAGCATGTGTAACTGTGTAGGTGTAAAACACTAAAGCAGGTGAATCCCCTCTGGCATGCTGAGCAATGTAGAAGCCTCAGGCAAGTTCTGTGGTGACCAAGAGCACCAGGAGAGGGACAGGATATGCAGAGGCTTTGAACATAGAGCAGCTGCTGAGAGCCCCACTAGAAGGCCAGGTGCTGAGCCAGGTGTGGTGGCACAGGCACATGATACCAGCACTGGGGATGTGGAGGCAGGAGAATAGCAGGCTGATGCTAGCCTGGTCTATGTAGCGAGTTCAGGCCTGCTGAGGCTATAGGGAGACGCTGTCCAAAAAAAAAAAAAAAAAAATCTTTGTCTCAAAAATCTAAAGGGGAGGTGCTGGGGGGAAGATAGTTCAGTCAGTCAGTAAAGTACTTGCCACTCAAGCTTAAGAACTTGAATTCCATCCCGAGTCCACATAAAAAGCCAGGTGTATTAGAGCATACTTATAATCCCAGTGCTGGGGTAGAGGGGCAGAAATAGGCTGATCCCTGGGGCTTGCTGACCAGCTAGCCTAGCCTAATCCAATGAGAGACCCTGCCTCAAAAATCAAGGTGGACACTCCTGAAAAGATACAACATGCAGGGTTCTCCTCTGGCCTCCACACACACACACATGCACACACACACACCCACACACAAATGTGCACATACATGCATATAAGCAGGCACACACATATACACGCAAGGAAAAGGCAGTCACTGAAACCCAAGGCAAGGATATGGGTAGAGTCTAGGGCCAGATCAGGCAAGGCTCACACACTCTAGTGGGACCTAAGCAGGTTTAGAACAGAGGAGGAACTGGAACTAATTCAGGCTTTTAAGAGAGCTTTCATGGGCTGGGTGGATAGCTGCATGTGAAAGCAACTGCCAAGCATGAGTGAGCCCTTGGTTCCATCTCTAGTACCAAAAAAGAATGCTATTATTTCAAATAAATAAAGTAACAGTGGATTGTGGTAGGACACGGCCTTGAGGCTACTTGAGGCCTTGTAATAGTTCAGGTGTGGGGTAGTAGAGGAGGTAGGAGGGTGTGAGTCAGATGGAAGGTTTATTTTCAAGAGTGTCAGCTGTTGGGGGTTCATCTGAGGCACTAGACAAATAGAGCTGGCTCTGGCCGACGAACGTATGGAAAGACTCCTATGTGAGAGGAAGGGACTCGGGAGTTGGATCTGAGACTCTGCTAGGCATTGATCATGTTGTGGTCAGAGCAAGGCCAGAGGCAATCTGGAGACCTTGGCAGCAAAGTATGTGGGAAGCTGGGAACCAAAGAGGTCACTAAGGTTCCAAGGTAGATGAGAGCTGAGAAAGTTTCAGAACCTAAAAGCCAGTGAGGTGAGAGTACCATTATAACAGTCCTTTAGGAATGGAAAAGAAGGCATCCTTGGAGGCTGGAGAGATGGAGCACTGGCTGCACTTATAGAGGACCCAGGTTGGGGTCCCAGCATCCACAAGGCAGCTAATAACTGTCCATAACTGTGGTTCCAGGGGATCCCATGCCCTCTTCTAGCCTCCTTGGGCATTGCACAGCATGGATACACTTATATACATGCAGGCAAAACATACACGTAAAATAAAAATAAATAATTTTAATTTAAAAAATAGAAGGCCCAGCACCGTAAGAAGATGGGTCCCCTGCATTAAACATTTCAGTGGATAAGGGCTGCCTGGGGTTGGAGCAACATGGGAAGCACTGACTGTACAATTAATTGGGCTTTTGGTAAGAAATTAGTAAGCTTTTCAAAATGGCCACAGCAGAGCATTAGGCCTGGCATAAGGCACTTGTGTCACTACCTATATGTATGCCTATGAAGTCAGCCTGGTTATGGGGACCATAGGGACAGTGCTAGGGCTGTGGT